TGTGTGTCTGTTTATTTTCTGGGAAGATCCCGTGTGCTGCAGTCTAGCCCCAGAGACGACAATTCCCATGAGCCCTGGAGGAAACGAGGAAGGAAGTGACTTTTTTGTGGGATCCGGGTCTCTCCATGTGTGTGGAGGAAGACTCAGCAGTCTGTGGACTCTTCCCTTTGTTTTTTTGGAAGAAAGGGAGCCAGGCTGCTGTGGAGGAGTTTTTATCCAGTCCAGGAGCTGTTATGCTGCAGTTACAGACTGGGACAGCGAGCCTTTGCAACTGGGATCTAGCAGGCTGCTTCTGATTGCCCTAGAGGGGAGGCCTTTTGGCTAGAAGCTACTCTGCATCCAGCACACAGAAGGAGATTGTGAGTAACTGGGCATCTTTGGTACAGTGCTACCTGGGACAGACCTCAGAGATACAGGCTAACTCTGGGTTCAAAGAAAGGCAGCGAACCAGGGCTGCTGCACAGCTTGGACCCACATACACACACACCACCTCCAGACAATCTCCACTATGGCTGCAGCTCTTCAAGTGCATCCACGCAAGCAAGAGTCCGGGACTCTGAGTCCAGGGGTGAGCACACTCTGGGGTGGGATAAATATTGGCTCTGCAGATGCCAACTTTATAAGTTCCTTTTACTTCTGTGTGCTTTGTTAATTGATGTTATTCACTGTTCATTTGTTTAACCCTGTTTCTTTAAGTGGTTAAGTAAAGGTTGTTCATTCTAACACAATCTATTAGATGTACATTATGTATGATTTGTAATTGTTGTTCTGGAGTTAGATCCAGTTTATTGCTGGAATGAGTTTATTCCTGGAGGCTCCCAAGGCACACCAGCAAGTGTGCACAGAGCCAGCCAGGTGGAGGCACCAGCATTGTATGTTCTTTTGGAGCAAGGAACTACAGCAAGGGGGAATAGGGTTTTCCCCAACTAAACATCATCTCCACTGGGGTACTCAGGATCTCCTTTTATGTTAAAACCATCGGGTGCCCAGGCACACCTGTCAGTGTGACCTGCCCCCAAATAATCGGGGGAGGAAAAAGGGGGTTACACGACTAAAGGTAACCAATCAAGATTAGTCTTGCAAAATATGCAACTGAGACAAATGCCACTGAAATAAAAGAAAATCGGAACAAAACCTGAACAATGTTCAGTGAAAACTGATCAGCAAAGAGAATAACTCGATTAAAAGAAGCGAAAAAACATCGTTTCAAACACCTATAACTCAACACCCGTCATCAGACACAAAAGTAGGAACTCAGCTCAGAAAACACAACGGTGATTGTAGAAAAGGAGCCATCAAAGGTGGAGAAAGGCAACCGAGCAAGTCAATAATTGGAGTCAGAAACGTCTTTGCAAATGAAAATGAGCATAAAACATTCTGATTTTGTTTTCCATTTTTAACAAAACCTTTTAGTTTCCATTTCTACCCACGGTCACTAAGAAATCAACCGACAATGGACGGTGAGTACTGGAAAAACAAACAGCTGCCCACAAATAGTGATTAAAAAACAACCAATACCTGGCAGCTATTAATGAATATGTCACCTATTATAGATATTAGATAAGTATTTGACTGGCTGAACTATTTGACTGACTCACAGCTCGATGGCATTTCTCTTTCTGTCTGCAACAAGATAAAGTTTCGAGGCCACATCTAATTGCACATTTCAGGGGATGCGTTCGGTGTCAGCAAGAAAAACACGACTGCTTCCGGTGGAAATTGGAAAACCAGAAAAGTCCCATTTCTGTTTAGCTCTGGGGAGGAGCACCAGCAGCCAATGAGCCAACCGCTCTGGGGGAATGGGGTAAGAGAAGTTTGTAGGTGCTGAGCTTGGAGAGTAGTGGCACCAAGCAGAGCCCCTGACATGGGGGGAGGGCGGGAGAAGGGAGGCCCACACACAGATAGAGGTGAGGGGCGGGACATGGGGTCAGGGTGAGCGCTGGTTAGAAATAGTCCAATGGAACGAGTCTCCCACCACAAACATGTCACCTCCTGGCAACATGAGTCTGCAGGTGTTTTTTACATCACTTGGGGGGCATGGGGACCAGAACACAGAGATCCCCTCTCCTCTGGGTCCCCAACAGAGCTGGCTCCCAGCTGTCATACTCAACCGCTGAGAGCCAATGGGGCTAGTGCATCAGAGCTGCCAGGGAATGCTAACGACCTGCAAATGCAACAGTCGCTAATATCGTATTAATGCCTGACAATCCATTGCTGCTCCGGCTCCCGGCCCCCAAACCGTGGCCTGGGCCAAAGTGTCTGGAATTTCCTGCCCCCTTTCCGATCATCACACCGCCCGGATCCCTGTGTCGGCACAGCAGGGCCTGGCTGTGTATCCCGCGGCCCCCTCACCTCCAGGTAATCGGCCTCCAACCGCGTAAACGTGCTGGAAATGTTGAAGATCTAGAAAATGATTGGAAGAAGAGGTGAGTGCCCCGCCCCTTTAGCACAGCTCCCCCTGCTGGGCCCTGCCCCACTCCCTGCAGCACAGCGCCCCCTAGCACCACACTGGGGCATTGGGCCAGCCCTGTCTGGCAGGTGAGAGCACCTCCTGCTGGGCCCTGCCTCACTCCCTGCAGGCTGATGCCCCCTAGCACTGCACTAGAGGGGCAGGTGGTGACAGGGCTGGGCTCTGGCTGGGTGATTAGCAGCGAGGTTGGTCCCAGGGTTGGTCTGATTGGGAGGGGGCACAGTGAGACCACACTCCTGACCACCCCTGAGACATGCAGGGGAGGGAAGAAGGAGCCCCAGGGGGTGGCAGGGTGGGGCTGGGCTGCGGATGGCTGGGTGGTTGGCAGGCAGAGTGGAAGTTTGCTCCCCGGAGTTGGGAAGGGAATCTGATCAGGAAGGGGCAGATTGCAGGAGGGGCAGGTGGCTCTGGCTGGGAGGGGCAGATTGCAGGGGGGGCAGGTGGCTCTGGCTGGGAGGGGGCAGATTGCAGGGGGGGAGGTGGCTCTGGCTGGGAGGGGGCAGGTTGCAGGAGGGGCAGGGGG